AATCTATAACATGAGAAACTGACCTCACCATGTCTGTTCTCCATGTTTCTTCCACTCTCCGCACAGCTTTCATCGATGTTTGGTGAGGATTTCATTTTGTGCCAGGAACTGTGATCGAATTGAGGGAACTAGTAATGTTGCAACTACATGTAAATCGATTCCCAACTTATGAAAAGATCAAGAATTAATCATAGTTTTAGATGGAAACTATGCAACACACATGCAGATATAAATCATATTGTTCATAAAGTTCATGTTAGGATTGTTGAACTGATAAACCCTGTGGATGTTTCAAATCTGAAATACTAACAGTGAATGCTCGAGACATTCAGCAGTCCGGACACACACTAACACACACACTCCACAAGATCACCAGGGGAATGGGGAGAAATTACCTCATAAACAGAGAGACTGGGACAACAGCAGAAGATGGGAATTATTGGGAAGGAAGCAGCAGATAAAGACACACCATTGAGTCAGTGAATGATATAGCACAGTTCTGCATCTGCAGTTCTTTCTATCTCTATTCAATTCAGACTTTGTAGAAACTGAAATGATCTACTTGAAAAAGTGCTCTAATCCATCAATAATTTTAAAAAGGGAGAGAGACAGGAAGCAGAGGATGGAAAATATAAAGGGTTACAGACTAAAATGGGGTGTGAGAATGACCATACCCTAAAAGAGACAGCAGAGGTGCAACATTCAGAAGGGCCTCCTCACGTATTGCAGGTTTCTCTCTAAGGAGAGAAGGCTGAGGGTGAGTTCCTTGGAGAGAAGAAGGCTGAGGGGAGAGGAAGGCTGATGGGAGAGTTCCTTGGGGAGAAGAAAGCTGAGGGGAGATTTTGTTGGAGAGAAAAAGGCTGAGCTAAGATTTGAGTTTTTCAAAGTCATGAGCAGGTTGAACAGAGTAGACAGGAGAAGCTGGTCCCACTCAAAAGTAAGAAAAACAACAGGGCATTCATTTAAAGTGATATGCAAACAAAGCAAAAGGGAAGTGAGAAAACCCATTTTACGATTCTACAATGAGCAGTTAGAGTTTGGACTGCCTGGAAATGTTGTGGAGGTAGGTTCAGTCAAGGCATTCAAAAGCAGCAGGAATGATGATTTGGATAGAAGTGGTGAGCAGGGAAATGGGGAAGAGGCAGGAGATTGGCACAAGGGAACAGAACCAGTGCAGGCACAATGGACTGAATGCCCTCTCTCTGCCCTGTAACAATTCTGTGTTTCTGCGAATTCCATGAAGGCAGTGCAGACCTCAGTTGAGGTCCATTCTGTCTTTCTCAAATTAGGGTACAGAACTGGGTCTTTCGCACAGCTGACAGCTCTGGGACAATGGTTATACAGGCCATTCAGGAGTGATGTTAGAAAGAACTTCTACATGCAAAGATTTATGGAAGTTTAGAACTTTCTTCCCCAAATGGTAGTCAATGCTAATTCGATAGTTAAATTTAAATCTATGATAGATAAATTTTTATTAAGCAAGGGTATCAATAGATATTGCCCCAAGGCAGATCAACCATGATATTATTGAATGGTTGAGGAAAGTTGAGAAGTGGAATGGTCTACTTCTGTCCCTGTGTTTGTTCTGATGTTGTAGTCATTACGCAATTCTTCCTGCATCTCTGCTACTTTTAGCCTTTCTTCCAGCTCTGCAAATACTCAAGTTCTAAGGTTGACTTCTCTCTCACTCACTCAATTCTTCAATGTCTCACTCTCTCTGTCTTTCTCCAGTTATGCAGCTTCTTATAGATACTATGGGTACAAGTGTTATAAACAGACTGATAGAGAGGCAGATGGAGAAGTGGACAAAACAATGGAGAAAAAAAAATGTAGCACAAATGCAGGTAGCCAAGTTAGAATAGTGTACGTACAGATGTATTGATGAATGGATGGATGACTGGATATGGACAAGAACAGAGTGTGAGGAATGTTAGACTGTCTGGAAGTTGCTGTCAGCAGCGAAAATCCAGTTCCAAGAGGTTTACCCATGGAGCTCCCATGACCGGACCATTGACTATCCTGGTTTGTTACTTAGTTTAATGTGACCTTCAACAGCCACTTTTTCTGCACATTTCTCAATGCTGAAGTAAACAGAAATCTAACAATCTCAAATTTAAAATTAGCATCCAGCATAAACTGTAATTTGTGGAAGAGTTCCAAGTGCATAGTTCCACACATACAGTGCACTGTTTCCTAAACTCATTCCTGAAAGATCTGTGTCTATCTTCAAGAAAGTATATCAGGTCCTCTCTCTTTGGGTTCAGTCCCTTTCTCTGGCGAATCTGGTATCTTCACTCATCTTCCCACTTGCCTGAATGGGTGCAGCTCCAACAACACTCAAGAAGCTTGAAACCATCCAGGTCAAAGCAGCCCACATGACTGGCACCACATCAACAAACATCCACTTCCTCCACCACCAGCACTCAGTAGAAGCAGTATGTACTATCTCCAAGGTGCACTGCAGAAATTCACCAAATATCCTCAGATAGCACTTTCAAACACACAAGGGCAGCAGATCCATGGGAACACCAACACCTGCAAGTTTTCCAAGTCACTAACCATTCTGACTTGTCAATACATTGCCATTCGTTCACAGTTGCCGTGTTAAAATCCTGGAATGCCATCACAAACGGCATTGTAAGTCTACCGAGAGCAGTTCAAGAAGGCAGCTCATCACTAGCTTCTCCAGGGAAATTAGCAAGGACAATAAATGCTTGTACAGCAAGTGATAGACATGTTCCATGGAAGAATTAAAAACAAGCAAACAATCTCCTACAACAAAACAAACAGCCCTTGATCTTTCCAACCTGGAAACCACTGCCCCATCTCCAAATGCTCTCTGCTTCCCAAATCCCTTGAATGGGTTGTTGCCTCTCAAATTTGTTCCCATCTTTCCTGAAATTCTGTGCTTGATTCCCTTCAATCAGGTTTCCAGCCCTGCTACCCTCAATCTGAAACAAATCTTACCAGATAAATGAATAGTTTGGAAAAATCCATGCAAGTAGAAGGCACAGAGGAGACATTCTCAAACTATTGGTCCCTACCATTTTAGGAATATGAATGGGGGATGGGGGAAATTGACATTATTGGACCCATTGAGGTGGAGGTCAGCTTCTGGATAGCTGCAAGTGACAGATTGCCAGATGTTGCAGTCCCTTTGCATTCCTCAACGTGACAAACTTCTCAGTGTTCTCTATTACTGAGAAAAGTAACCGCTGGCCTAGATAGCTGTATACAGCACAGACTTTCAACACCAAAACGCTCCCACCTTATGTAATGCACATCCTGTTCTCTGTCTCTACAACTCACACTCAGATACATACACCCAGAAATATACACTCAGACACACAGGCATGAGCACGCTAATGCACTCAGATGCAGACACATAGGCTTAGACACACACAGACACACCACACATACACATATGCACTCAGGCACAGACACACTATGACACATAGATGCACACACCCTCCTTGTGCTCTTCCGATACAGTTCACATCAGTCCCTTAACCTACCATGAACACAAAACCCAACCCCAATACTCATGTCTGTGTGTGAGTTCGTTTTTCCGAATACTACCCCACCTGCAGTGTAAATCTGACCTCTCACTGCAGGACTTACCATATCCTTACCAGCTCTGCCATCCATTTCGCTCTCCAGCCCTCTGTGCTGGAGTATGGACTCAAACTAAACAGCATTACTGTTCACTAAGTTAAAACAAAGAACTGTCGATGTTGGAAATCTGAAACAAAAACAGAAATTTCTGGAGAAAATCAGCAGGTCTGGCAGCATCTGTGGAGAGAAAGCAGGGTTATCATTTCTGAGAAAGGGTCACCAGACCTGAAACATTAACTCTTTTTTTTCTTCACAGATGCTGCCAGACCTGTTAAGCTTTTCCAGCAACTTTCTGGACTTGAAAATGTTAACCCTGCTTTCTTTTCACAGATACTGCCATCTCCTGAGTTTTTCTCCAGCAATTTCTGTTTTCATGGCAGCATTGTTCAGATGGCCACTGACCCCGTACAGAGTTGCTTCAACACCACCAAACTGCATTTGTGTAGTACCAGAGACATAACAAAGTGGTTTCTCATCATCTTTAATGAATGATGCTGGCAGATAAAATGGATTAGATTGCATCTCATTTTAATGATATTTTTTAGAAAACTAGCGAAAGTCACAAAATGGATCCTAGACTTTATTTTTCAGAAATTGTGGATGGTAACATTTATTGTGATGTTACAGCAACTGTCTTGTTACCAAATATATGATTGAAATGAGACGCTGGATTTGCAAATTGGCAGACATGGTACTGTTAGATTGCATCAATAAAATTGATTACTACCTGATTGTATCTGTAACCTTTCTGGAGATTTAATTAAGCAGGATTGTTTTTAATTGTCCGTCACCAAAGAGCAGGAGAGTCGACGTTTTGGGCCTGGACCCTTCATCAGGACTGAAATAAAAATCTGGATAAGGTGACAATGGTCAGCTACTTTGGAGGAGTTTTAGCTGATACAGAGCAAGGGACGTTGGTAGGGGTGCCGTGCCAACTGATGAACAGATTTCCTGAGTTCTGTTGGTGAAATGAACATTCCCCCTTTTCAGAGATAGTAGGAATTGAAAATGCTGGAGAGTCTGAGATAACAAGGTGTAGAGCTGGATGAACACAGCAGGCCAAGTAGCATCAGAGGAGCAGGAAGGCTGACGTTTCGGGCCTAGACCCTTCTTCAGAAAAATTCCCCCCTTTTCGTTGCGTGTAAACTAAAGCAAGGTGTCCAAGATTCAACGAGGGGCAGCAGAAAGGGCTGTTTTATTGTGGGGAATGTTAACGTTGATGTGAAATGTCGCAGGAAGTCTTTGATATGCAAAGGTGTTATATAAATTCACGCTGTTGTTGTAATGTCATTACCTGTGGGCAGGAAACACTCCCCGCGGAGAATAGCCCAAAACCGCAAACAGGGAAGCGAAACGCATGCGCAATTGGGGACAAAGTATGGAGCATGCGCGGAACCATTAATGGCGGCTGATGGATGTTTCTTACATTCGGTCCGAGAACGGTAAGATTTGAGCCTGAACGGAGAGAGCGATGATCCAGCGGGAGCTCGGTGAGGTTGCCTGAAACTATTGTGTAAGCTGCGACGCCCCCAAAAACTAAGTTATCAGTGCCCGTGTTTACACGGAGTGAGGACAGTTGTTTAACTGCAAGCTTTCGTGTCAAGTTAGGCCTCGGGTTAACATCCGCCATCTTTATTGGAGCACCGGGCAGCAGGGCGCATGCGTAGTCTTCATCATTGGTGCAGGCAATATTTGGAATGACTGGGAGGAGCTTGCTGCCCATTGTTCAGAATGGGGACAGCTTGTCCATCAAGCTGCAAGAGCCTACCCTGAAGAAGTTACCCTCCTCCCTCCGGACAAACCTCAGGGGATCTCTCTCCCATTGCAACTCCTCTCCATTTATCTTCTCCTCTATCCATCTTCTATCAGCCTTCCCCCTCTCCCTATTTATTTCAGAACCCCCTTCCCCTCCCCCATTTCTGATGAAGGGTCTAGGCCCGAAACGTCAGCCTTCCTGCTCCTATGATGCTGCTTGGCCTGCTGTGTTCATCCAGCTCTACACCTTGTTATCTCAGATTTTCCAGCATCTGCAGTTTCTACTATTTCTGATACACCCAATGTCTTACTGGTGAGGCAGAGCGGCAGCAGAGAAGGAAGTAAGCCCCACTTGTTGCTTCCCAACCTCATCTGTTTTAAGATTTGTGCTTCCATTCAGTCAAATGAAGACCTAAGTCAGAAACTTAGGCTCCCGAGTAGACCTTATTGTAACATTAAGTGACTGCCGATTGTGATGAGGAGCGATGTGCAGCAGCAAGCATACACGTCCTTTGCTTTGACAGAGTTAGAAGAGGACGTTAATAACAGAAAATTCACTTGCTTCTCTTCATTGGCCTCTGTAAGTAAGCACTGAAATCGAGACCTTTATCACATGCTGCATAAAGTGTTTCCTGACATCCTCCCTGTGGCTCTTCACCAAAATCTTCAGTGTTCCATAATCTCTTTTTCTTCTGTCCAGCTAACAAGATAACTTTTCCTTTTCTACCACATATTAATGTTTTACAAACCCTTCTATCTCATCCCTGTTCATTCTGCTTCACTTCAGACAATTTAAGTTTCTCTAACTTAACAATGCAACTCCAATTCCTCATCCTGCAAACTATTTTGGTAAGTCTCCTCTATCTCCTCCCATCCTTCACAATGTGTGGTGATCTCTGGTTTGCACATACATTGATACGATGTGTTACTGCGAGTGATATCATCTCACAGCAACAATTGCACAATGACATCACCTACTCCCCTGAGATTTTCTCAAATGTGAGATTTTACTCTGACTCCAGTGTTTCAGAATCTTTCCAATTGCAACTTCCAGCAGGAGATATCAAAATTTTGAGAGGAGATGGAAAACATTGAGAGTGTTTCACTGATGAGTGTTTCTGAGAATTCACCTCATATATAGCTTTTCTCCATTTACCTCTGCTCTGTTATCTGAGAGAGGTTCCATGGCTCTGGGACTGGAGTTGTTCCCTCCTCAGCTCTGTTTAATCTCTGCTCTCTCTGATCACTGCTCTGCTATTGATTAACTTCCTCTGTCTCTAATAATGGATTTTTTTAATGTCTGTTTAGTATTACATTGTCACTTCTGCCAACAATGTCTAAGTGAGGTTTTCATTGCTGCCTATCCCCTGACAATGCGCTCCCCTCTTACTAATTTTACCATCCCTCAGGATCTTTCACAATCAGGAATTGTTTCTCCCTGCACTTTAATTCATTTCTCTTTCGCTTCTGAGCTTGCAACGATCATCAAATTTGCACCACGTTTGTTCACTGTGATTCATTCTGTACACCCTGAACAATTCACTCTTTTTGTCACTCCATGGATACTGCCTTGTTTTTGACTAGTACAGGCTCAATGGGTCTGAGGGCCATTTTTTGTGCTAGAGACCTATAGGAATGTATGACCATGTCCGTCCTCCAGACTATCTCCAGCATTGTCTCTCTTTAGTTCAAATTTCCAGCAGGTGCAATATTTTGTGATTATTTTATTGCATGCCTTGTTCACAGATCAGAATCTAGAAACACAGACGGACTAAGTAAGGGATGAGCTGGAGTGTGGAGCTGGAGGAACACAACAGCCAGGCAGCATCAGAGGAGCAGGAAAGCTGACGTTTCGGGTCGGGACCTATCTTCATCTGACCACTGTGATTTTGACACTTTTTCTTGGCTGTGCTGTGATTTGCAAGATGCTGACAGGTAAGAGGTTCCAAGTAATTCACGCAGTGATGATGAAGGAATGGTGATGTATGTACAAATCAGCAACATCAGTTTTAAAGGAATACAGTGTACCAAGGTACTTTCACACAAAATGTCAGACAGCACCTGTTAACCCTGGGCCACATACAGAGATAATAGGGCAGGTGACTGAATGTTTGGCCAAATAATGAGGTGTAAAGGAGGAAAGTGAGGTAGTGAGGGTTCAAGAGAAAAATCCATAATGTGTATCCTTGGCAACTGAGGGAACAGCCAAATATTTCATCTCAGGTGAAATATTTCATCATGGTTGTGAACCGTCTGGTTTACCCTCAAACATTTGCCAAGGAGAGGGATGGAGTCAGTGGTAATGGTGTGCAGTTTGCAAAAGGGAATAAAAGTAATAGCTTACGTCTTCACAATATTTAAATAGATGGATTTTCTGCCCATCCATACAACATAGAACTGTACAGCACAGTACAGGCCCTTCAGCCCATGATGTTGTGCCGAACTTTTACCCTAAACCTAAGGTCTATCTCACCTACACCCCTACCTTCTACTATCATCGATACGCCTATCTAATAGGCGCTTAAATGCCCCTAATGAGGCCAACTCCACTACCCTCTTCGGCAATGCATCTCACGCCCCTACCACTCTGAGTAAAGAACCTACCTCTGACGTCTCCCCTATATCTACCTCCACTCACTTTAAAACTATGCCCCCTCATAATAGCTACTTCCACCCGAGAAAAAAGCTTCTGGCTGTCCACTCTATCTATACCTCAGACGTGTACAAAATGATCAATCAAGTCACCCCTCATCCTTCGTCGTTCTAAAGAGAATAGCCCTGGCTCTCTCAACCTTTCCTCGTAAGACCTTCCCTCCATTCCAGGCAACATCCTGGTAAATCTCCTCTGCACCTGTTTCAAAGCTTCCACATCTTTCCTGTAATGAGGCGACCAGAACTGGACACAATACTCCAGATGTGGCCGAACCAGGGTTTTATACAGCTGAAGCATAACTTCACAGCTCTTGAACTCAATCCCTCTATTAATGAAAGCTAACACACCATATGCCTTCTTAACAACTCTCTTTACCTGGGTCGCAGCTTTCAGGGAACTGTGGACATGAACCCCGAGATCCCTCTGCTCCTCCACACTGCCAAAAATCTTTCCGTTAACACTCTATTCTGCTTTCAAATTTGTCCTTCCAAAATGAATCACCTCATATTTTTCACAGTTAAACTCCACCTGCCACTTCTCAGCCCAGTTCTGCATCCTATCAATGTCCCTTTGTAACCTAGAACAGCCCTCCGCACTATCCACAACTCGACCCACCTTCATATTGTCTGCGAACTTACTAATCCACCCTTCCACTCCTTCATCCAAATCATTTACAAAAATCACAAATAGAAGAGGACCCAGAACAGATCCTTGTGGTACACCACTCGTAACTGAGCACCATGTTGAATATTTTCCATCTAATACCACCCTTTGTCTTCTAAGGGTCAGCCAGTTCTGAATCCAATCTGCCACATTTCCCCCTATCCCATGCCTCCTTACCTTCTGCATGAGCCTACCATGGGGAACCTTATCAAACACCTTACTTAAATCCATGTATACCACATCCACTGCTCTACCTTCATCCACGTGTTTGGTCACCTCTTCAAAGAATTCAATAAGATTTGTGAGGCATGATCTACCCCTCACAAATCGATGCTGACTATCACGAATCAAACTGCCTATCCAAGGGATCATAAATCCTATCTCTCAGAGCCCTTTCCAATAATTTGCCCACCACTGAAGTAAGACTAACTGGCCTGTAATTTCCGGGGTTATCCCTGTTCCTTTTTTTTTTTGAACAAAGGAGTGACGTTTGCCTCTCTCCAATCTTCTGGCACTATACCCGTGGATAGCAAGGATGCAAAGATCATCGCCAAAGGCCCTGCGATCTCTTCCCTCACTTCCCATAGAATCCTTAAATAAATCCCATCAGGTCCGGGGGACTTCTCTGTCTTCAAGTTCCTCAAAATTCCTAGTACATCTTACTTACCAACATCCACCTCTAGCCTACCAGCTTGTTTCACACTGTCCTCCCCTACAACTAGGTCCGTCTCAGTTGTGAATACCTAAAAAAAAGTATTTATTAAGGACCTCTCCTATCTCTTTCGGCTCCGTGCACAAATTCCCTTTACAATCCTTTTCTCTGGTCATTCTCTTATTCCTCACGTACGTGTAAAAAGCTTTGGGGTTTTCCTTGATCCTATCTGCCAAGGTTTTCTCATGCCCCCTTATAGCTCTCCTAAGCCCTTTCTTCAATCCTTCCTGACTAACTTGTATCCCTCTAGAGCCTTTGCCGATCCTTGTTTCCTAAACCTTATATAAGCATCCTTCTTCCTCTTAACTAGTCGTTCAACCTCTCTTGAGAACCAAGGTTCCATCGCTCGACCGCATCTTCCTTGCCTGCTAGGGACAAACATATCGAGCACACGCAGTATGCATTCCTTAAACAATCTCCACATTTCTATAGTCCTCTTCGCTGACAGCATCTGTTCCCATTTTATGTTACCTAGTACTTGCCTAACAGAATTATAATTACCCTTCCCCCAATTATAAACCTTACCCTGCTGTATGTACCTATCCTTTTTCATGACTATTGTAAAAGTAACAGAGTTATGATTGCTATCAGCAAAATGCTCTCCTACCAACAGGTCTGACACTTGGCCTGGTTCATTGCCAAGCACCAAATCCAAAGTGGCCTGTCCTCGTGTTGGTCTATCTACATACTGTGTCAGGAATCCTTCCTGAATGGACTGGACAAAATCTGTTCCATCTAAACTATTACAACTAAAACGTTTCCAATCAATATTTGGAAATTTGAAGTCACCCATGACTACAACCCTGTGACTTCTGCACCTTTCTAGTATCTGCCTCCCAATCTGCTCCTCCACTTCTCTGCAACTATTAAGGGGTCTGTAAAAAAAAAAAACAACCCCAACAAGGTGACTGCTCCTTTCTTGTTCCTACAGACTGACTCTGTAGACATATCATTCTCGAACTGGCTTTCAGAAGCTGCTATACTAGCCCTGACTAGCAATGTCACTCCCCCGCCTGTTTCACCGCCCTCCCTATTTCTTTTAAAGCATCTAAATCCCGTAACTTCCAACAACAATTCCTGTCCCTGAGTTACCCAAGTTTCTGTAATGGCCACAACATCGTAGTTCCAAGTACTGACCCGTGCTCTAAATTCATCCGCCTTATTTCTGATACTTCTAGCATTGAAGCATACACACTTCAAACCATCCCTGTGTCCACAATTTTGCTCCATCGACCGCATTTCTTTATTAACAACCTCACTCCCTGTTGTGTCTGTTGGAAGGCTGAATACCTCATCCTCTGAATTACAAATCCGGTTCCCCACCCCCTGCCAATCCGTAAACCATCCCATATAGCTCGAGCAAACCTCGCTCCCAGGATATTTGTGCCCTTCCGGTTCAGGTGCAACCCGTCCTTACTGTACAGGTCCCACCTTCCCCAGAATGTGCTCCAATTATCCACATAATGGAAGTCCTCCCTCCTACACCAGCCCTGTAGCCACATGTTTAGCTGCATTCTCTCCCTATTTCTTACCTTGTTATCATGTGGCACTGGTAGTAATCCAGAGATAACTACCCTGTTTGTCCTGGACTTCAGCTTCCAACCTAACTCCCTGTCCAGTACTGGATGTCAGGCAGGTCAGGATGGTGTGTGATTGGGAGGTGAATGTGTTCACGTCTGTGGTACTCCTGCTGTCCTGGGCCTTCTGGGTGGTGGAAGTTGAGGGATTGGGAGTTTCTGTTAAAATTCTGATCACATCAAAGTTATACCATATCCTTCTCCTTCACCTCCTGCCTGTCCCTTTCTCTTATTCTCCCATTGAGTCTTGGTAGGTCTGGACTGGTGTGGATGTTCTCCTCAAGTCATAGACCATATAAAATGCTTCATTCTCTGTCTCTCCCAAATCACTTTCTCTGTCCTTACCTCCTCGCACCGTCACTCCAATAAAAATTGGTGTTTTGTGTCAGACTAGAGCAAGTGGCAGGCTTCCTTCCCGGAAGGATGGTTGTGAATCGGTCGGATTTTTGTTACGATCCAGCCACTTTCGTGATAACTATCTCCCAGTGCCGGCCCCACACAAATTCTCAGATTTGATCAGCTCTGTTTCCGAACTAGCCTTAGTGCTTTTGTGCCTTCTCTCATACTCCTTTTTCCTGTTTTAAACAAATTCCACAGGATATTAGAAGGACAGGATTTGCATTTGTGCCATTCAAACCACATGTCACATCAGGATTTGACAGAGCCACTCAATTTGTCTTAACCTGAAAATCATTGGATTTTGACCATGGAAGGAAACAGCACCGTTCTCAGTGGGGAGAAACCATACACATGTTCTGTGTGTGGAAAATGCTTTGCTGATTCATCCAACCTGCTGAAACACCAGCGAGGTCACGCTGGAGAGAAGCCGTTCAACTGCTGTGAGTGTGGGAAGGGATTCGCTTGGTCATCCAGCCTGCTGAGACATCAACGTGGTCACACTAGGGAGAAACCATTCACCTGCTCTGAGTGTGGGAAAGGATTCACCAAGTCATCCAAACTTGTGCAACACCAGCAAATTCATGCTGGGGAGAAACCATTCACCTGCTCCAAATGTGGGAAAGGATTCACCACGTCATCCAACATGTTGAGACACCAACGAGTTCATACTGGCGAGAGACCATTCAGTTGCTCCGTGTGTAAAAAGGGATTCACTCGGTCAACCCATCTGCTGCAACACCAGCGAGTGCACACTGGGGAGAAACCATTCACCTGCTCTGTGTGTGGGCAGGAATTCACTCGGTCAACCCATCTGCTGAGACACCGGCGAGTTCACACTGGGGAGAAACCATTCACCTGCTCCGTGTGTCAGAAGGGATTCACTCAGTCAACCCATCTGCTGCAACACCAGCGAGTTCACACTGGAGAGAGACCATTCGCTTGCTCTGTGTGTGGGAAGGGATTCACTCAGTCAACCCATCTGCTGCAACACCAGCAAGTTCACACTGGAGAGAGACCATTCGCTTGCTCTGTGTGTGGGAAGCGATTCATTCGGTCAACCAGACTGTTAACACACCAGTGTGTTCACACTGGGTAGAAACTGTTTACTTGCTCCATGTGTGAGAAGGGATTCACTTGGTCATCCATCCTGTTAACACACCAGCAAATTCACAGCGAATCAGTTTTGAAAGATTTTGCTCTTACTCACACCAAGGAATGAACCTTGGTCATTGGGCTGTTTGTACTAAAGTTATTAAACCCTGCTGTATTAATGGGTCTGATAAAATTTGGATAAAATGTCAATACGATTTTTTTATCTGTTGGGTACTGTAAGGGTGGCGCATCTTTGTGAGACACGAAATGGCCAACAAGGGATAAGCAAAATTAAACAGCCTGCTCCAACATCTAAGTGAAACATAATGGTACCTTTGAATAGGACACTCCAAGGTCAACTAAGGGCCTTGCAAGCAACCATCGGAGACAGTTTGAAAAGAGGATGCCTAGGCGTAGACAAGTGATTGATTCCGACCTCATTAATGAAAGGATGTTGTCCCATTAGGTGAACAGCACCATTCAGAACAAAGGGGTGTAAATCTCAGCCCATCAACCAGCCAGCCTAACTCATTAAGCAACCGTGAAAAGTTATTTTATAGTAATTGGCTGTTTCTTTGAAGTTATTCACAATATTAAGAAATAGGTTCTAGTTAAAGATTCATCAGATAATAGGAGTAGATTTCAACATAAATATAGATACAAGTATAACCAAAAGTATAACAGAAGCATTAGGGGAGAAACATTCAAACATTGATGTGAAAGTTAATTAGTCTCAGGAAACACTTTCTCTCATCTCTAAAAAAGATGCCTCGTACACCTTGAACAAAACAGATTGATCGCAACTTACTAATTACAAAGTGCTAACAGTAGAAGTAGTTGCATAACTTCATACTTTATAACTAACTGTATAACAGAAATTAATACTACGGATCTTATAGCAGTTAGTTAAAACCAACTGTCTTTTGTAATTTTTATACACATGATTGGAACAGTGGAAAATATAAGATGAATAGCAGAATTTGATAGAGATAGCATATGGAATACAATGACTAACAGAATTCAACCAGTCCTTAGAGATAAGCAAGTCTGAGACAGACCAGGAGGAGTATAACCAGTAATTTTGGAATGCCAATTAACAAGATGCATAGAAAGATCCTAAGGCCTGGAGATTAACAATGTCTGTTAAACACCATGAGATCATGGGACCCTGGGGCTGTCCATAGAATGCCTATCATTGATTAGGTGTTTCACAGGCTTGAGTGTATGGAATCGGGGAGGACATTTGACCACGTAGTAACACAATGTATAAAAATGCTGTATCTCACTGTAAAAATCAGTGTGTTATTGATCTGTTTTCCAATCTGAGCCAAAGATTAAGGGAATAATGGTGGTCTCACATTGAGGCCAGATTCATGGAAGATCCTTTGACCCACTCCCTACATTAACTGGTTCTTGCTTGAATAAAAGTCCACCACTTGACTGAATCCTGCCTGCCTCCTGAGTCTTTGTTCCCAGTCGAGGAGTACACTTCCAAAGATTGGCACTGTGAGCAGGGTGCTCAGATTGAAGCCAGCATAGCTTGGGCCACTATTTGTTTGAAGATGTTTATTTACCACCCTTCTATTTAGTGTGGCACTTGGTGTGGGCTCTTCTGTAAGCCAGACTAAGAAATGAATTTTTTAAATGGGTTAAGCAGGAGCAGACAGGATCACAGGTGTTGTGGAATGGGGTGCCTGGCACAAACAGCACAAGATAAAGAGTGAGGCAGAGACCTCGGGCACAAAAGGCACATGTAAAAGAGCATAAGAGGTTAAAAATTCTTGGACAAAAATAATAAATAGAAGCAGAGACATTCAGAAGGGAGAAAGGATATCACTTCACCCAGGGAGCCGAACTAAATGCACTTACTGCCGCTCTGCAGTTAGGGAGAGGACAAAGGGTTAACATTTAGGTATGCCTTCGGTGTACGCCATGACTATGTGATGGCAAGGGCAAAACATGGTTATGTTACCTCGAATGGTAGTGTAAATCAGCACGAGACCCTAGTCAAAGACCTAGTGGCTGCAATTATTGAGCCGAAGGAGGCAGCAGTGATTAAAGTAAAAGCACACAAAGATTCAGACACCAGAGCAGAGTGGGAGCGACTACGTAGACAGTGCAGCAAAAGCAATGCTAGAACAGGAAGTGATAACAAGTGAGAGCAAGAAGCCAAAGACAATGAATAGAGCATTTTAAATTTAGAAGCAGCAGCTAGCTCAGATGAAAAAGCAGAATGGATTAAAGACAGGGCAGCATTAGGAGGAGGTGATATTTGGAGGAAAGAAGGTGGTGAAGCTTTCACATTCTGCTAACGAAGCTATGCAATGTTTACTATGGATAAGCACACGTAGGGAGGGATAAAAGGATACAGTTAATACCCAACTGTTGGTAGTGGAAAGGAATGGGAAGAGACAAAGCTGAATTTTGCCAGAGGTGAACCGACAGACAGAACCAGGACAGGGGATTAAAAGTTAAAATGAGCCATCAGCCCTGCCCACGGGGATCATGGGAATGCATTAAAATGGACCTTATAGGGCCACTCCCACAGAGTCAGAATAAGAAATTCTGTCTGGTCATGGTCAACCAGTTTACCAGATGGATAGAAGCTTTCCCCACAAAAGACCACCGCAACATTGGTGGCAAAAATATTGGTAGGTCAAATAACACCCAGGTGGGGGAGTTCCTTACAATTAGAATCAGCCAAGTGCTTGAAGGAATCATCTAAACTCTTGGGAATAATACAAAATTATCATATCCCCTATCACCCACAGAGCTCGAGTATGGTAGAGAGACTGAATGGAACGCTGTAAAATGCTCTGACCAAGCTAATGGTAGGAGAAAGGGTAATTCTGATGGCCCAGAGGGCAAAGCCCTCAAAGGCCACTGGACTTAACACCCTTTGAGCTTATGATAGGACGAACAATGACAATCCCCCAGGACCTAACCACAGCGGGGATGCAGAACTGACTAACAGCAAGGGACAAGCCTGGGATTACATGAAATCTCTCTGTAAGCATTTACAGACATTTCACGGACAGGCACTAGACTAGCAGCTTGTCAAGGACTGGGAGTCTGAGGGACAGAAATGCCAACCCCATGATTAAAGGTCCTGGTGAAAATAATCCCAAACAAGGGAGCCTTTATCCTCACCACCCCCTCCACCCCCCAAATGGGACAAACCTCATGAGATAATATCAACAGGTAGCAGGAACGCAAGTATTATTGAAAATAGAATTGGTAAATGGAAATATTCTAGCCCGCTAAGGGTATATAGGAGTTAATAGTATAACAGTCAGTCTCTCTGTCTCACTCTCTCACAATCTCTCTCGGCAGCTGGAATACATTACGTTGAGTGTGCATATATTATGTGGGTTTGTGAGAACTGTAATTAAGTATATTGCTGACATTAGCATTAGTATGAAAATGCTAATCCTCTGTGGGCTCCTCTCAATTTTGATCCCATCAGAGGCTGACAGGCACATGGCGGACTGAAACTTGGATGTTAATACATTTATATATATGTCATACGCTTATGCCAGTCATATTAATGTCTCCCGCTGCTGGGTTTATTTATACATCCCCATATATTCAAAGGGCGGTGTCCCACTGAGACCTATTCCTTTTAATGTATCTGAAGTGGCTGAATGGATCACTTGTTAGAATGAATCTGTAATGACTGCGGTTCACGCGGCTGGCACATCTACAATGAATGGGTTAATTTAGTGGACGTTAGCAGTATCTGAGATATTTGGGAATCAGCAGAGTACAGCTTTTCTACTTTTAAAGATTGGTACCAACCCCAGAACAGGTAGATAAATGACATCTCTCAGGCCCTTGCTAAGATGAATGCTGAGCTAGTTGCCATCCAAACCATAACATTACAGAACAGGATGGCCATTGATTGGCTACTAGTAGAAAAAGGAGGCACATGTGCACTCATTGGAAAGGAGTGTTGCACGTACATCCCTGACAACTCTGAGGTAGTTACTGATTTGACTGATCACATTCATAATGAAGTGATCAAACTCAAACAGGCTCCACCTTCGACCCTATGGAGTTGGGTTGCAGGGTGGCTGGGATCCCTCGAGATGTCTGTTGCCCAGGGAATAGTAATTATTTTCTTTTCTTTTATATTACTTGTATTATGTTGAAAAGTTGCATTACTACACTGATGAAGGAGATGACTGCAGAAGGGCTACCGACCAAGAAGGTGGCCATGCTACTTACTACAAAGAAAAAGCGATTTCTCATGGAACAATGAAAGAAAATGACCAGCTCATCACACAATGAGAAGAGGATCATGAATGTGATACCACCAAAAAAAGACTACTCATGAACTAATACTTTTGTTTACGAGCATAGAAACATTGTAATGGATTATTCAGGATTTTGCTATGGACTTATCATTAATGATGTCCTTATGACCATAATCTGGCCTAGGGCCAAAGGGGGAGGGGTGAGCTGTTGGAGCTGCCTATTTTTAAGAGACAAAAAATGGCCAGAATTTTTTAAAAAAGCCTGCTTTGCATTTAGACACAAGATAGTTGACCAACTGCTGTTAACAAACTGATTAAAACACAATTAAAAAGCCTAATTCAGCATTTAAGTGAAACAATAGTGCCTTTGAGATGGCGTTATTCCAAGGCAAAAGGGAGCATTTTCTGAACAACAAGTTTACAAGGAATGCAGAGACAGCCTTGATAAGGAACTATTCAAGGACGAACAATTTGAAGATTTGTAACAAACACAGACAAAATAATGAAATTATGGCTCATAAAAGAAGAGAAACTTTGAAGGACCATTAAACTGCAACAAGAAATTAACTCCAGTCTCATTAAGGAGAGGATGTTGTCCAATTAAGCCAACAGTGTTAGTTAAGCATCATGCTGCTATGACAACAGCAGCTAAAGTAAGTTTGCAGAAATTAGCTGTTTCTTTGAAACTATTAACAATTTTAAGAAATGGGTTCTAGTTAAAGATTCTTCAAATAATCACAGAGACAGATTTCAATGTATTTATCGACACACATATGTAATCAAAGCATAATAAAAGCACTAGGGAATTAATTAAAGAGATGCCTGTCATATATTGTCTCATTAGCTAAGAAGTGCCAACAGTAGAAGCAATTATAAAACTTTATAATATAAATTATTATTACAACTAACTTTTTTTTATATAAGGAGTGATAGAATTTGATAAGCATAGCAAATGGAAGACAATAAACAATAGAATTCAAGCAGTCCTTAGAGATAAGCAAGTCAGGGACATGTCTGAAGGAGTATGGCCAGTAATTTTGGAATGTGAATTAATAAGTTACATGGAAAGATCCCAAGGCCTAGAGATCACAATGACTGTCAAGCATCATGGAAACCAAGGCAACATAGTGTTGCCCATAGGACTGTCCATCATTGATCAGGTGTTTCATGGGATTGGTTGTCTAAAGAAAGGGGGAGGGCACAGTAGCCACATCATCTGTGATCGTTGTAACACAAAATGTATCAAAATACTTTTTTACTGTTATAACCAGAGCATGTCAATGACCTCTCTTCCGATCTGAGCCATAGAATAATGACTGGGTTCTCACATTGAGGCCAGATTCAGGAAAGACCTTTTGCCCTCTCCCTGCATTAACTGGTTGTTGCTCAAATAAAGTCTGCCATGTGCCTGAATCCTGAGTCTTTGTCCCCAATCGGGGAGATACGCTCCTACTGGAATCTAGAACCTGCAGCCTGTAAGGGTGTTGGAGACAGATACATTCATATCATTGAAGAATTATTTAGATGTACACTTGCAAAGCCAAGGTCCCATGGCTCTGAAAAGATTGCTGCAAAATTTGATGAGAATAGTTAGGTGGTTGTTCTTTTGAATGATACATACTGATTGCCCAAAGGGCTTTTCCAGTGCTGTAGTCCTTTATGATTCCTTTTCTCAGTTAGGAGGAGGAATTAGGTGGAACGAGTAAGTTCAGACTGGCAATGAGAGGGGATATTAATGAAAGGTCTGAAATATGGTGAGAATCTGACAATATAGCTCCTGAGAGGCTGTTTCACCCTGGCCGGAGCATCGTGAACTGAGATGATGTCTTCCTGATATTGGATCAGCTAGTTAGAACTGGGCTGACAAAGCATTTCTTCACTGAAAGAATTGTGTACTTTTGGAATGCTCCAATCGTAAATATTGCGTGTATTGAAGGCTGAGGTTTTGTTTTGGAGTTTCAGTGAATGGAAGACAATATGGATTGAATGGGAAATTAGGGTTTCTGCTTGTTCAGAAAATTTACAATCTCACATGAAACAATATTTCGATAAATTGGTGACAGCCTTGCTTTCTGGGTCTTTGACTCTACTCAAGTTTTTGTCACTCTTGTGGCTGGGTCAGTGTGTTTTCCTCTGTAGTTATCAGTACCGACACAGACTTAGTGCATTTTTAGCATCTGAAACTTTCA